TGTGTGTGTGTGTGTGTGTGTGTGTGTGTGTGTGTGTGTGTGTGTGTGTGCAGGATATGATTGTTAATTATATGTCCATACTTTACAGAAATGAACGTAGCGCTTAAAAGAAGAAAATGATATCACAATTAATAAAGACTAAATAACCTATTATATATATCCTTTCCTTGTTTTAATCACTAGAATGTTCACGCAATTAAAAATAAAATAATAATATCACGAATATTGACATTTATTAAGAATCATACTGTATATGTAAAAAAATTATGTGCTATACAATTTGATATAGTGTCCTAAAAAGGTAGGGACCCCTGAATATCTCGGGAAATATAAGTTTAATAGAAAAGTGTTTCAAACAAAGGTGGGGTAGGCTTTAAAAAGACCTATTTACTAATCTTATCAGTTTCATCTTGAATTTACTGATTTGGCGTCACCAAAATCAGTAAATAGATCCTTTTAATGTAACTTTTGTCTGAAATACTTTTTCATAAAATTTATATTTTTTGAGATATTTATGGCGAATTCGATTGGATTGCACCAGTGCAGTGTGATTGCACCAGCTCATCTTTTTTCCTTTTCCCTTCTCCTGGAAAGAAAAGGAAGAAAGATGAACTCAGGTGCACTCAGTGCGCACTAGTGCATCCAATCGAATTCGCCATTAGATGTCTTTCACTTTTTTAGAACGTTCAGTATATATTAAGATTCATTACATATATTAGGCCCGTATTCAGAACGCGTTTACAACGATGTTAATGCTCGTGCTATTGTTTGCGTTACGCATACTACAGAATTTTAGAGTTAAAAGCACGCTTTTGTCAATAAAAACACATTCTAAATACGGATCATTAAATATCAAGGAACTAGAGATGCACCGAATGTCCGTAAAATATTCGGTATCCGACATTTTTTTTACTGTCCAACCAGATATCAATATATCTGATGATATATCGGTTGAAATTTTATATTGATAGTTTAGAGCAAAAAATTATTTTGGATCGGACTACGTATGTCTTATATATTTTTGGACGCTGAAAACAATACCGCAAACGAAAATATTCCAGCACGTCAGATTTCCAAGATAATTAAGGTTTAATACTTAAAAAATCGTTTTTTTTTGCCATTTGCGATATTTTAAATTTTTTTTTATAAAGAAGTTTAACATTAGCTTGAAATTTCGATCAGGAGTCATGAATGTATTGTTCATTCCCTATAAAATGCATTCTGTTATATGTGCATGTGGATTAATTTCTTAAGGTCACGTTTTGATAACTGTATCTTAATACTCTTATACACAGAATGATGAGACTAATCCACTGGTGTAATGAAAATATATGCATAGTTGCTTTAAAAAAAAATGCAATTTGTAATATGCAACTACATTTAAAACATCTCTCTCTCTCTCTCTCTCTCTCTCTCTCTCTCTCTCTCTCTCTCTCT